GAGAGAGAGAGAGAGAGAGAGAGAGAGAGGGAACCGGACCACACAGTTTGGGTTGGTCTGCATAGCAGTTAGTTATTGGACCTGTAAAAATTAGCCGAATCATGTCAAACCAGTCGATTTTTCAATCTATGAATAAAACAATGACCAGGAAATTTGCAAACTCACATCACCAGTAATTGGTACAATTTTGTAGTTATCCCCTTTGGAAGATAAATGTCTTAATGTTAGATTCTAGATTTCACTTTATGAACACTAGCCAATTGCTGATTTTTTCCTTGAAGAACAAATATCATTACTTTTTATTTTACTGCAAAAGAAAGTACCACTACTAATCATTACCAGAAGAGCAGAAATATAAATAGATTAGGATGATAAGGCATCCTTTAACAGAATTGCATTAGAAATAACAATTCAATAAAGTAATGTTCGCCAAGTACAAAATTATCCATATATCTGAAGCCTCCATAACAGGTTAAACACACTGATACTTTGTATATATTCATGCATTCAGTTTCATCCAGAAACATCAAAATTCTGCAAACATTGCTTAACTCAAAAAACATGATACCAGGCTTCGTAAAGCCTCTGCAGTCTAACAGATTCATTTTTCATTGCCTTAAAATTTTGATTTCTGAGGGTTAATTATCGTGGTTACTTTTAGGAAATAACAGACCCAATGGTCATTTTAGTCATTTAGTGAATCTTATTCTTTGAAATGGTCAAGGTTTAACGACAGCCTTGTTTGTCAATGCACAAGCATCCTATCATATGAAAAAGCCAAAGTATATTATATATTCGATAATTGGGTTTCTCAATTAGGCCTTTGCGCTGTTGACATGGCTTATATGTATCCTTAAATAATGTCCAGTTCAACATGACAAGGAGATTAAGAGAAAATATTGGGACACACAGGAGAAGTATATTCATATAGACTATATGTGAACTTTTTTCAATGTTGTGAGAGTGCTATGCGGAGCACCAGATTGTAAGAAGACTTTGGGAAAAAGGTCCACTTACCTTATTGGGACTTGTAGTTCATGGTAGTATAGATCTAGCACAATTTATAGGTTCAGATGTGTCCAAAAACTAGGGTCTAATTAGGAAAACCTTGAGACAAAATGCTGCATATACTAAAGCTTATCATTTATCTTTCTTTTATAACATTTTCGTGTCAAGTACAATTTGATTGCTTGCAATAATTTTCAGCTTTCTATTTACTGTAACTTTAGGGCTTTGGTAATTGCTATTGGGAGTATGTAATTGCGACTTTCTGATTCTTCTTTCTGTGTTGATAGGGTCTTTATATGTTTAATAAATTTTCTGCTTGTGTGCAAATTAACAAAGCTACTAGGGAGAGGATTATTGAAAAGTCTTCAATCTATTATTGTTGTATTAAAACTTGAAAGTTTATGCTTGTTGTTCTTTTGAATTCTAGAAGTAATGACCAATAAAAAAAATGATGACATGGATTAGAAAACCTAGATATGTTTCCATTTAAAAATTTTGAGACTTCTGTAAAGGGAATAATGTAATTCATTGATCTTTGTGCACCCCCTTAAAAAAAGGAAAACCTTTAAGATAGTTCTAAGACCACCTAGCCTTATGGATTAGAGTGCTGAGTAGTTTAAAAATAACATGTATGAAAAACTATTGTGTCTAAGATCTGGATGTTGAGATGGATGTTTACTAGGAAAGCTAGAATTGAAATAAATGTATTCATAAACAATTAGTTGTCATTTTAATAGAGGATAAAATGAGGGAAAAAGATTTAAGCTAGTAGGAATACATCCAAAGACCTATAGTTCCCCCTCTCTTGCTAAGATGAGTCAATTGGTATTAGTAACCTGAGATAAGAGAAACGCAGACCCTGGAAAGTTCTACTAGAAATAATGAAAAGAAGAGCTGCTTTTAGTTTGAACTCTGATATTATCATAAACAAATTTCAAAGATAGGAAGAGATCCATGTGTCCAAACCCAAATAATTGCAACATTATGGCTCTTATTGGTCACATGCTGTTTTGCCCAACTATTTTTCTTGGGTTCAGTGACCCAATTTGCTTCAGCTTATCTAATTATTCAGTAACCATTTTTATTATTTCTGAATGCAATATGGTTACATTGTAGGTTGAGAAAAAAATGATGCAAATTAAATCACATAATTTTCTGTATATTTAGGAAAAAATGATATGGCTAATATTAGTTTTTCTTAGAGAACATAAAAAACATCAGAAGTTTTCTGCTAAAACCATCTTCCATTCTAATTTTATCTCTATGTGGTACTTGTGTTAATACCTTTTTGTGCACTCTCATATTATGAATTTTCCCCATATGTTCTATTTATTTTTAGTCAAAGTTGAGAATCTTGACTTAATACTGGTTTAAAAATATTATCAGATAGAATCTTGACCTAATACTACAAAAGAAATAGAATATTAGTTTTAACATCAGCAATTGAAATGTTCAAATTGATGATTTGCTGAAGGTATTAAATAGTGTCACTTTGTCATTAGCTCCATTCACTATTTTGTAAAGCAAGAAAATATGCTTCTATTTCATGAGCGAGCATCCTCAATGTAACTGTAATAGCATGTTTGTAAAATCAGCATATGTTAATCTTTGACTATATTGGTTCAGTAGATAAGTTAGGTGATTAGATGTTATCCTTCTGTGAGATCTGTCTATGATTTCAAGCCTTGTGGAATGCAGTATGTACAGTGGACTTCTTCCAGCATTTGCATATCTCTTTCCAGGATTTTTTATGTATGTTATGTCATGACCCAAACCCGAAAACCACGAGGGGTTGGGTAGCAACTCATTGTAATCACAGCCATTCAGCACACCCAGCATTATGTAAAGGCCTGCTGGTTGACTTATGTAGGCCGTGTCATGAACACTCATTTGCATCTGTTCCATGCACAACAGTTCAGATTTTATTGATATTTACTTGTCATCTGTTGCATTATTCAGCTCATCTTGTTGGTATACTTGTGTGTGCATCCTTAGGTTTCTTGTCTCTTTGTTGTAAGGTTTTGGCTTCAGAAGATGAGCAGGATGCATTGTCGACAGATCCAGATGAACTAATTGAATCTGAAGATAGTGAAATTATTAGTGGAGATGAAGAAGACATGTTCCGGAACCTTCTCTCACGAGCAGGCTTCCATCTGTCATATGGAGATAATACCTCTCAGCCCCAGGTTACATTAAGGGAAAAGCTTCTAATGGATGCTGGTGCAATTGCTGGATTTCTGACTAGTTTGCGTGTTTATCTTGATGACCCTGCTAAAGTCAAGCGCTTGCTCCTTCCTACTAAACTATCTTCATCTAGCTGCAGCAAGAAAGATGCTTCAAATGGTGATGCAAATTCTCCGAGCTTGATGAATTTGTTGATGGGGGTTAAAGTCTTGCAACAAGCTATCATTGACTTACTCATAGATATAATGGTGGAGTGTTGCCAACCTTCAGAAGGAAGAACTGGATATGATTCTTCTGAAACAAGCTCAAAAACTTCTGGTTCAAGTGGTGCTAGTACTCCACCAGAAACTGGTGGTGATAGTGAAGTATCAGCAGACTATGCACAATGTGATATGTATCAGAGATTGGAACCTGGAATAGGAGAAATCAACCACACATATGCAGTACAAAGCTCATACCCGAATGCATGTGAGATAGTGGACAGAACTGACCAAGAGAGACACATTTTTCCCCATGAGGCTTCTTCTGGAGATCAACCAGCATGTGATGATCTTGTCCAAGTTTCCAAGGTAGTTTGTAAACTTGAGTTATTACCACAATTATCTTTGAGTTTGATATCCTTTATTAGTACTCTACAATGATTTTTTCATAGACAAAATGGCCTGAACAATCTGAGGAGCTTTTGGGATTAATTATCAATTCACTGAGAGCCCTTGATAGTGCTGTGCCACAAGGATGTCCTGAACCTAGAAGGCGGCCGCAGACAGTCCAGAAGATTATTCTTGTGCTTGACAAAGCTCCGAAGCATCTTCTTCCTGATTTAATCACCCTTGTGCCCAAATTGATTGATCCTTCAGAACATTCTCTAGCCGCTTGCGCACTTTTAGATCGCCTTCAGAAACCAGATGCTGAACCTTCACTGCAATTATCGGTATTCTATTAATTTCTTTGAGATCATTTTTTTATTTATTTATAGATGTTTTTCAGATAAACCTATAATCTTTGTGCTAAAAGTTACTTTGGAAGAAATTTCAGCTTTATATACATGTTATGCTTGTAATGTATATTTTGCCTTTTGTATTTCATATCTAATCCTGCTTTTCAGGTTTTTGGTACTCTAGGTCAGTTGGAGTTTGGAAGTGAAGTGTGGGAACGTATCCTATATAAGACATTCGAGTTGTTGATGGATTGCAGTGATGAACATCTTGTAGCAGCAATGAGTTTTGTTTTCAAAGCTGCATCTCAGTGCCAGCATCTTCCTCAAGCTGTACTTAATGTTTCTCCATAACCTTGATTAATATTCATACACTGTATATCAAAGGACTGATTGTTGACATTTTTTTCTTTCTTCTTTTTTCTCCCTGTAGGTCAGAGCTTTTCGTTTGAGACTAAAAAGTCTTGGTACTGAAGTTCCTCAGTGTGTGCTGGATATTCTGACAAAAATACTGCATACTAGTGCTGACGTGGCTGAAGCCATTATGAGTGATATTGACTCTGACAGTGGGCTTGACGGTAATTGCACGATATCTTGCGATACTTATTCAATTGGTGCAAATGAGATCTCTCCTGATGGGTTGCACGTGGGGATAGATCAGGTTGTGCATGGATGTCACAATCACACTGATGTTTACATTTTGATAGAGATGTTATCCATACCTGGATTATTTGTTGAAGTTTCACAGGTCTTTGAAAGAGCGTTAATTCGAGGGGCCATTGGGCTGCAATCGATTGCGCTGGTATTAGAAAGGCGACATTCTCAAATGTTGAACATCAAATCTAGGTCCATTTTGGATGATTCACAGAACAGGCAAGTCCTGGTAGATGGAAGTATTGATTCATTGCCTGTCCAAGAAGATGATTTCACATCAGTTCTTTCTCTTGGTGAAGTATTATCTCTTTCCAGGGATGTGAGAGTCCAGGACTTTGTGAGGATGCTTTATGCCATCATGTTTAAGATTTATGCCGAAGAGCATTACCGATTTAGGATGTTGAAAGGACTTGTAGAACGTGCAACAAATATGTCAAATAGTTGCCGTGTAGTTGATATAGATATGGATGTCTTGGTATTTCTTGTTAGGGAGGAAGATGGAATAGCTAGACCAGTTATGAACATGTTGCGTGAGGTTGCTGAAGTTGCCCAAGTTGATCGTTCAAATCTTTGGCACCAGATATGTTCTGTTGAGGTTGAACATATTCGTTTTCGAGAGGAAAAGCAAGCAGAAATTTCTAAGGTTGCTGATGAAAAAGCTTCTTTGTCTCAAAGGCTAAATGAATCTGAGGCAACCACAAACCGTCTTAAGGTCTCTATCTTCTTGTTTGAGTTGCTGGGGATCATTACCCTCTGGCTCTGACCATATATTTTTTCCCTCTAACTATCTAGTTGACTATTTTCTTGAATGAATGACAGGCTGAGTTGAAAGCTGAGGTGGAGCAATATGCTCGGGAAAGAAAGGAACTAACTGAACATATGCTTGACATTGAGAATCAGTTGGAATGGCTTCGATCTGAGAAAGATGAGGAGATTGCAAAGCTCTCTGCTGACAGGAGAGTTCTTCAGGACCGTCTTCATGATGCAGAGACACAACTTTCACAGTTGAAAACTAGGAAGCGTGATGAGTTAAAGGTAATGTAAATGCTTGATTGGAACAAAAGAGAGATTTTCCTTTCTGAATGTTACTACTTGTGGTTGTTATTTTATTTGTCGTGTCAAAATGTTAAAAAAATGTTATGCTAATTATTTTAGAAGCATTACTTTTACTTGATTCCCATTTTAGAAGCATTTTATATCACAATATATCTATGTACAACTGTATTGCGAATGCATTATCACATCCATTGGATATATCTTTTGCAAGTTAACACAGCTTACTATTTTAAATTTTTTATTATTATAAACATAATAGTAGTATATATGGAGATATTGTTATTCTGGATCTTGGGCAGTCTTTGCAAAATCTCAAAAATTAAAACTTAAAATCCTTTAGTTGTTTTCTAATTGTTTGGTCACTGGATGATTATGCCCTTGAAGAATTTCTCAGAAGATTTTTTATGTTTGGTTTTTTCTTTTATTTGCCCCACCTCTGAACAAGACATTGGATTATAATGGTTTTTTATGGGTGACATTCTCTGAACAAGATATTGTATTATAATGGTTTTTTATCATTTTATGTTAAGTCAGACTTTCACTATGTTATGCAACTCTCATTAAGTCTTTGTTTCAAACAGAAACAAACTGAACCTTCAAGTTATGGAGTGTAAATATTCCACATGAAGGATACAAGTGCCCTTTTATTTCAATTTGTCATTTTTAACAATTGGATTCTTGTTAATTTGATTTACCTAAATTCTTGCATAAGTTACTAATAGGTTCTATTTCTTTTACTTTCTTGTGACATTATAATGGTCATCATTTCCTGCATTTGTTCTTCGTATCAACTAACTTGCAACATTTTATGTAATGTGTCCTGTACACTTGGCATTGGGGCTAATTGGTATGAGAAAATAATTTGACCTTATAATTGATGCAGAGGGTAGTCAAAGAGAAAAATGCATTGGCTGAAAGGTTGAAAAGTGCAGAAGCTGCACGTAGAAGATTTGATGAAGAATTAAAGCGATATGCTACAGAGACGGTGACTAGGGAGGAAGTCAGGCAATCACTCGAAGATGAAGTGCGGCGCTTAACACAAACTGTTGGACAAACTGAAGGAGAAAAAAGGGAGAAGGAAGAGCAGGTTGCTCGATGCGAAGCATATATTGATGGAATGGAAGCAACATTGCAAGCATGCCAGGTTTCTTTCTTTGTCTTAAGTTTTCACTACAAGTTTCTGTTTTTAGTCCCTTTCTGCAGCAAATTGTTAATGACCTTATAGGCTCTGGATCTTTTAGATTATTCTCAATATAAGGGCATTTTTAAATGTTTAACAACTTGTAAGCTTCTTCAGCTTGAGATGTCAGTGAAGATGCTCTGATAGTACGTGCAAGATAAAATTTGTTCTAGAGGATAACCTAATTCCTCTTACTGTTTCTTGGCAGTCTACTAATATCTTCTTGTGCTTGTTCTACCTCGACTTTCCTATTTTCTTCTCCTCCTCTTCTTTTTCTATAAGCTGTGACATCATCTAACATTGTTGGCCAACTGGGGTTTAATTAACATGGATTCTAGTTATTCCCACCTATTTCAAACCATGCAACCAAGAAATCTGCCAAAAACCATACCAATATGGATCGGGTGATGCTGCAAAGTGCAATCTATGGTATTTAATTTTTAAATTCTAATTTATGATAATGAATTCAGACTTTTTTATGGTTACAGCGTTGGGGTGAATGATTGCTCAATTCTTCAATGACCATGAAGATTTAACTGCATATTAAAAGAAGCTTCTATTGCATTAAGAGATAACAACAAAATAAAAATGTTCGAAGGATTTTAGATGTTCAAATAAGGCACATGGAAAAATTACTTTAGCATTGAGCCCTATCTTGTTTATTTCTAGAAGGGGGCATACATTGGCACTATGGTTTGCTCCTATTTGACATGGGAGATCAAAGTTCCAGTCATGGAAACATTCGCCTCTCAGACATTGGCGGGAGTCTCATATTCGAGGCTGTCCTTTTTGAAATATATTTTCTGATTCTATTCTTGTTAGAATACTCTTGTCCACTGATAACCAGCCTGCAATTAGCCGGTAGGTAAATTTTATTTTTCTGACAATTTCAGTGTAGTAACCATTGGAAAGTAGAAGTGTGTTCATGTCCTGGGTCTACTACGTTTGCATCTTACAGATTGTGATTTTGATGTGAACCAGCTTTTGCAGTTGGATCTGTTAAACCTTGAAAACCTGTTATCTTGTGCTTCTAGTTTCCAAATAATTGATTTTGCATTTGCTCGAGAAACTTCATGATCAATGACTAGCATATAAGTTGGAAGAAATTTTTTCATCTGGGTAGCTTCTTTTGTCTCCTTGCCTCATCAGATCAAACTATTGGATACACATGCAAACTTGTCACGTTATGTAAGATAATTTTTTGTTAGTGTTTTCATAGTGCTTCCACAGTCCACAACAGGTTGACCAAGATATGTTGTCCCTTCAGGAACTTTTTCTGCTGGACCTCTGTGTTGTCTCCTCTGTATATTGTAGCATCTTCTTTTTCATGCACGTTTTATTTTCTTTGCCTACTTCCTAGAAATCATTCATCAGGAGGCTGATTGTTCAACCAGGCAATCCTAATCAGACTGCGTATCTATGTGTAGTTGCTTTTGTTGGATAGGCTTTCTGGAATGAAACTAGCAAATTCAAATAGATTACCTTTCCCCTATCACTAACTAAAAGGGATGTTACTCTGGGTTTTTCTGCAAATGAAAATTGGAATACTGAAGATCTGTTCTCCTAATGCTATTCCTTCATTGATTCGCAGCAATATATACATACACTCGAAGCTTCACTCCAAGAAGAGATGGCTCGCCATGCCCCACTATATGGTGCAGGCCTGGAAGCCTTGTCGATGAAGGAACTTGAGACACTTGCCCGCATTCATGAAGAAGGGCTCAGGCAGATCCATGCAATTCAGCAGATGAAGAACGGTAACAATTCTCTGGTAAGCGGGCAGTCGCTTCCGCAAGTTCATGGCTTATATTCTTCAGCTCCTCCAATGCCTGTTGGTATGCCTCCATCGATAAACCCAAATGGAGTAGGAATCCATGGAAACGGGCATATGAATGGTTCCGTCGGGCCCTGGTTTAGCCCCACCTAAGAAACAAAAGGTTCAAGCAAGATTGTTGTTCTTCTGGCCTTGTGTCAAGTAATTGATATGATAGCTTTTCTCACTCAAATCTCCCCAAGCCCCCCTATTCATTTGAACTGGTAGAACTATCGGATCATTACCCGATATGAGAAAGGTATGTCATGTACAAATAAGCTAAGAAACATGCTTTGAGAAAAAATAGTTTTGTAATACTTGGAAGCGCAAGAAAAAAATCCGATGGAGCTAGCAGTTGGAAATGAAAGCTTTTTTTTCCATATGGTTGATGCCACCATCTTTTGGTTATGTTATTTGTTGTTATACACTCCTAAGGTAATTTGTGATTATGTTTATATGCCCATCTTAGACAGAATTCAGATTCAGTGAGGCCATGTTGTACTGGTTATTGTCCCAGATCCTTATTAGCCACTGAATGAGCACAGAACAATAGCACAATCATAGAACTTGTTTCTTCTTTTTTGGAAAAAATGGGTGTCTGTTTGTTTCTGGGAGATGATGTGAGTAATTGCCTTTGGGTATGACATTTTTGTTTTCTAATTAGTCAATTTAAATAAATTTATAATATCTTATTTTATTTTCTATCAATAATGCATATCTAACTATTTAGAGTCTCTATTGAAGCACTTGATTAGTTAGTGTCTTATTTTTTATGAGCATTATATATATCATTTAATGTAATAAAAAATATTTTTTTAATATTTTTTTTAAATATTCATAAATAAAAAGATTATTTTTTAGTAAATGCATATATTCATCTTAAAATTCTCAATGAAAATTTATGTTTCAAAAAATATTCATAATGATAGAGAAAATATTTAGGGGTCAATCGTCATGTGATCTTATTTTTATAAATATAAAAAATTTAATATAATTTTTAAAAATATAAAAATTAGGATGTTAAAGGTATCTAATTACGGTAACTAATTATTTATTAGCCCAACCAGTCACTTGGGAAAAGGAGATCCGACGAGACATAGAAACAAAATGTACAAAGCTGGCGCATCGCCTTCAGCGCCCAACACAGGAGCCCACATCCTCTCTCTCTCTCAGCTTATACCGTGGAGCTACGCTTGCACTTGCGAGGAGAAACAGGTCGCCCGGCAAAGGGAAGAAGAAAGCCATGGACACCACCAAGCTTGCGGTGCTCCTCCTTGCTCTCGTCTGCAGCACCCTCTCCGCTGCCACCTCACCATGCAATCCCGAGACCCCCAAGCCGAAGACACCCACGCCATACTTCCCTCCCAAGACGGCGCCTCCCAACCCATTCTGCCCGTGGGACACCCTCAAGCTGGGCGCCTGCTTGGACTTCCTCGGCGACGTCGGCCTGCTCGTCGGGGCGGCACCCTCCCGTGGCAAGTGCTGCGCCCTCCTCGAGGGCCTGACGGACGCCGAAGCCGCGCTGTGCCTCTGCACCACCATCAAGGAGAGCGTGCTCGGCGTCACCACCAAGTGGACGGTGGCGCTCAGCATCGTGGTTAGCTCCTGCAAGAAGCAGATCCCGGACGGATTCAAGTGTGTCTAGGCATCTCGTTGTTGCCTTTGGACTGCTCTCGACAAAGCTTCGTTCATGATGTCTGTGCGTGCGTCTTCTTTTGTGGGTAGTTATGTCTCAGCCTTGTTCTTGTGATCACTGCAACCATCCGCTCTCCTTGTTCTTGCCACTGGAATCATCTCCTCTATTTATGTCTTAGCCTTGTTCTTGTCATTGTTAAATACTGAAATAAATTTTGAATTGATGGAACATGAAAAAAGAAAGAAAGGAAAAGAAGAAGGATGTGAAGAAACATGGATTAATAATATTAAGTAAACTCAACATGTTGAGATATTAAGGTTAGTGTCCATCATATTATTTACTTGACACAAGCAGTCATAGACTTCAAATGCCTACCATGAAGGCATCATCTAAAGTGAAACTCCATCTAAGCTTGTGATCGAATCCTTTTGAGCTGTTCTTCTGGTGAAGGTTGGGTGATATGGTTCCAAACACTCGGGTGTTAGGTTTAGGGAAGAGGATAGGAACTCCTCAAATGCAATCTCTCTCTCTCTCTCTTCTAAACTGATGCTTCATGTAACTGTGACCACAACATACCGGTGTTTGGAATTTTGCATGAAACATGCACGGACGTGAACTGTGTTACTTTGGGAGCAGGCCTGCCATGGCAAGCAGTGGAAAAGCAGGGGCGCAAGGGAGAGAGAGAGAGGACGACAAAGAAGTCTGAGGAGATGGGAGCCCGTGAAGAGACTTTGTTTGTTATAGCTGGCAATGAAGTCTCTTTCTTATCATTCATCATATCATATTCTGATGGAGATGGCTGTTGTCTCCCCCTTTCTTCTCTCGGTTACTTCACTTCTTTTACCTCAGTAGAGACGGATGAAGCATCAGAACCAGTGATTGGTATTCATGCTTTGCTTCATATCAACACATATCAAATATCATCAAAGAAGAAACCAATTGAATTGATTAATATGTTTTACTATTCTAAGTGATGTCTGCAATCTCCTCTGTTGTTTATTCGATCAAATCCTCACTCCTACATTTCCTCAATTGGGGATTATATATATATAAACATATATATATATATATATATATAATACTCATATTTTGGATTTTTTCAAAAGGTACCTCTTTTTTGTTTTTTTCTAAACAATACATTTAATTTAAAAAACCCAAAATACCCATCAAAAATTTTTCTGTCAAATTTTTTGCCCATTTTTTCAGTTTTCAACAGTTACAGTGTTTTCATTTAGCTTGTTTTTCAATAATGGTTATAGTATTTTATTAATATAGTAAAAATTATTATAAATATCAATGAAAAATACTGTAAATAATATTATATCATATGTTCTTGGATGTCATTGTAATATCATTACGATATCATAATTTTAGACTTATAATTGATTCAATTGAAGTTACGAGTCTATTTAGATTATTCACGGTGTTTTTATTATAATGATCAAAACACTTTTATAAAGAAATTTTTTTTAGGGATAATTTAAGAATTTTATAAATTAATGATACTATTTGAGAAAAAACAAAATGAAAGTACACAGGAAAAATATCCAGTGATTTTCTAGTGATAATAAATATTATTACAAAATATTATTCTGATCAATTCAAGTTTTATATTATGGATTTATGTCAATGCAATCCTCACAGTTAGACTAACAATTATATTGATAACTATGTGATCAATTCAAGTTTGATATTATGGATTTATGTCAATGCAATCCCCACAGTTAGACTAACAATTATACTGATAACTATGTGATCAATTCAAGTTTGATATTATGGATTTATGTCAATGCAATCCCCACATTTAAGACTAACAATTATACTGATAACTATGTGATCAATTCAAGTTTTATATTATGGATTTATGTCAATGCAATTCCCACATTAAGACTAACAATTATACTGATGACTATGTGATCATTTCAAATCTGATTCGCCACATCGAGGCCCGTATTTTGATTTGATTTAGTTCGGTGTCCAAATAACGCACCCCATAGAGACATTAACATCTGAAGACGGTGACGTTTACTTGGAACTAAGGCGGTAATCGTACCTAGTAAATTCGAAACACGAATGGATCCCAAATAACATTAAATCCGATTTAGTTTAATTCCTATATAAGTAGCGGCAGGTCGGTAACCGACTTCCGTTTCTCTACTTCGACTTCTTGCCTTGGGAAGGTCGGGTGCGATGGCTTCTTCCTCGTCGCCTTCCCTTTCGCCTCCGCCCAAGTCCTCCTCCGTTTCGGACAGCGCCGGCGAGGAGGGAAAGCAGGAGCTCCAGGGAAAGGTGGGTCCGGATCAGCGATTTCTCTGGCTCTAGTGCCCTCGTCCTCCTTCCTGATTAGGGTTTCGTCTTGGCTTGTTTTGCAGATTCGTGGCCATGAGGTCGCCATCAGTGAACTGGAGCACCTCCAGCCTTCCCGAGTACGTTCTTCCTCTTTCTTCCCTCTGGGTGATGTTTCTTCTTTTGCTTTGCGCGAGATCTGGGTTTATTTGCCCCCGAATTAGATCGATCTGTTGAAACTTGACATCCATGTTTCTTCACTCTTGCCGTTTAGTTCTATGTGGATTTTCTCGCTATTATTCTGTTCTAATGTTGGTCTGTTTCTGGGTTCGCATTCTTGAAGTAACTCATATTACGTCGATTGAAGATACTAAGGTAAAGGTGCGTCGTGTGGGAGGCAAAACCGTCTTCAACTTGTGATTCAAGGCTTTTGTTGCCCCCGTTTGTGGTTCTTGTTATGCCATAAGTTCTTCATGTGATTCTTGGGTTCCGATGCCCCTTTTAGTGCCTTATTATCTAAGGTTGTTATGTTAGATCACAGGGCGATGCAATTCTGTAGATGATAAGACCATTGACCATGACGATTAGTAGCCTTGTCAAAACTACTTAATCAAATCTAGTCATGTATATTTTCCTGTGCTTTCATGTTAGAGGTGGCTTTTGTGTGCTATTTTTTCGCAGTCTGAATTGAGTGTGTATATATACACACATATACATGTATTTGTGTGTATGAGCATATCCTCTAAATATTTTATTTATTGGAACACATCATTTTTATTTCGTTCTAAAAGCTTTCATCAATGTTATTAGTTCTCTGAATTCCTTATATATCTCAGCTTGGTTCGTAAAAAAAGGCATTCTAATATGTATAATATCTTAATTTGTTTTCATTTTTTGCCTTCTTTCTTTAAGAGGTCCAGTTATTGCGACATATAATTTTATCCTAAACTAATTTTGACTTTTCTATGCATCCTGTTTTTCTCAACAAGATTGTCTTGCTGCTCTTTCAGTTCTTTGTCATACTTAAGTGAACTTTATGAAATTTGTGGCCTCGTTGCCATTGTAGGACCTACACCCTGGTTATCAAGACATGATTCAAGTGACAGTGAAGCACCTTGACATTACCAATTCAGCTTTCATTCTATTTCTTAATGGTTATATATTTTGTCTCAGAATGTATCATACTTCCATGCTTTGAATTTTAAATCGAAGATACAAATAGGTGACTTGTGTATATGTTAGTTGTTACCTGTAACCTGCAAAATCAGTATATAGTCTAGTGTATATACTCATTATCATCTGGAGCTATAAGTAACATTGTTATAATTACCAACTTGAAACAAGCCTTTTCTCAATTTTAAGAGGAAAGAGCCTCCCAAAGCCAGAAATTAAGTAGCTTTATTACAACAAAATAGAGAATTCCAACCATGAGTCACTAGGTATATGGCTGTCATATTTATAGGGGTTTTTGGAGAAAAATAATCTCGTCACTTCATGAAAATCTGTTAAAAAATGTCATCCAGAACTCTCAAAACATGATCCTAATGGTAAAAGAACTTGTCTAGCCTATATGATGCATTAGCAAAATTAGCAAAATATTCCCTAAATAGGCTACAAAAATTAGTATCAATTGGCAGCATGAAAATAATGAAAGAATTGAAAATTGCTGGTGAGGAGGCTTGGTTAGCCTTCCCTTTATTACCTTGGAGTCCTGAGGAAGGATTTCTCCACTCTTCCCCTTACTAGAAATGGACTGTTCACTCTCTTCAAAGTTGGATAGACCTGCTTTGCTTCTTCAAAACTATGTAAGAGTCCTCTTTTGACCAAGAGATTCTTGTACGAAGCTGGAAATCCTTCATACCATGCTGAATTGAGCATCTTTTGCCGAATTCTGCTGGAATGACATTGAACTGCTGCACCAACCTGGGTTTGACGACCATGCTAAATGGACATATATATGGGCATTGCAGTTGGTCAAGAAGGCTAATATAGGACCAAATTGAACTACATCTTATCATGTTCGATAATATAATGATGAGAGAATCTTCTATATTTTCATTATTGCTCGAGTTGGATGAATGTTTTTGGACAATGTGATGTTTTCTTGGCCATGTTTCAAAATCTTCCCCCTTCTTGAATGCTGGTAGGATGCAGTTCCAATAATGTCATGGACATTTATCAAGTCATGCTAGAAATTCCATGATATGGATTTAACTATCAATGAGACACTAGTTTTACGTCCCTAGTGTGGAGAAATTTTGGTTGATTAATAAGTACATTTGGATATTTGAGGGTATTGCAAATGACTACTTGTCTTTGCTGTCCGAGTGTGTTGATTTATCAGTCTGCATGTGTCTCATGTCAAGCACGGTCAAGTGGCTTCGTTTGAGAAATAAAGAAGTAAATGCATAGCTATATCACTTATCTGATCAGGTAGTCATAGACTGTTATTCACTGTTAATTAGCAAATAAGTCTCTTTCAATTAATAATAGATCATTGCTTCTCCAATATTTAGCTGAGCTTTGTTTCATCAGCTGTCAACTCTTAGGACTCTAGGCTGTGATATTCTTGCAGGAGACCATATTTCCCAAATTTAGCATTCTTCACTATCATATGTAGCAGTTTCAATTGTTTTTGTTTTGATAATAGATTCTTTCATTTCTCTTTTTATATTTAAAAAATTGTTGACCACACAACTTAACATCTAGAATATTTTGCATGTCCTCGGACAATGGACTAGGAATCTCAAGTTATTTAAATTGATATATTTATTTTTCTTTTTTAAAATTGGTAATAACATGAGTACTTGTTGTCTAAAGCTTCCCTAATAACCATTTTCAGCATGTAATATACTTTGGTGACTACTCACTTCCAGATATCACATCTTATTCCATCCATAACGTGGGTCAAGATAGAGGTGCTAAAGTTTTACATTCCTCTGTGTGTTCTTCATTTTAGTTTCCGAGACACTCCGGAATTTTTGATGCAGTGTCATTTGCTATTAATATGTAACTTCCTTCTTTATATCTACTCTAGTCTCAGAGTGTTAGTCATTGTTGGATGTGACCTCCATTTTTATGTAATATGCTTGTGTTTGTCTTGTGAAGCATTCTCTTACCTGAACATTTTGAGATGCAGAATTCTATGATGATGTTTATATCATTGGAATAGCTCAAAAAATAATGTTCACCCAAGTAAGAGACAGGAGATATTATGATTTTTTAGTGTCATACTCATTTACTGATATATGAAGTGATGCCTTGATGTTTACCAGTATATAGTTTTTTTTTGTTTTTGGAACTGTTATAATAAAAAAGGTACATAAGACTGTTTAATATATATCAATATGGCTTGGAAGACCTTGGATGCGTATCGTTATGGGCCTTGAGCAGTTGAAGAGAATAGCAATGGGTTGTTACATACCCAATATTTTTTATAGAATCTTTTGAGACTTGGGTTTAATGTGCATATCATCAATCTTGCGTAATGAAAGATAAACCTCTTTCGTTTTCCCTGTCTTCCTTTCTCTTCACATGTACTGTAGAGTTTTAAAGATGATTGTGCAACATTTCCTTAATGAGCTTTTGTTAAGAATTTTAAATCCCACTTCAACAAAGAATTTTACCTGCTTGTATGTGATATTTGTGGAAAATTGATGGTGAAATGTACTACTCTTGTGGCCACAGGCAGTATACCAGAAGAGTGGCAATATCTTTTTTCGCCGAAGCATCAAGACAGCAATAGCATCTGAACAGAGTAACTCTCCATGCAATCCTGAGTACTTTCATATTAAGTCTTCGTGGTACCTCTTGCACTCTTACTATTTTAGTTGTGATGGTCAGAACAACTTGATTTGGCCAAATCTCGGTTGCAAAAATTGAATGCTATTTGATGCCCCCCAGCACACAAAGTAACAGCACGCAAGGTATGCTCCTGTCTTTAACTTCTTTCTGTGCCCCTTTGTACATTAGTGCCGGTCATTGTGTCCAACTTGCTGATGATACAAAATTTTTAATTGATTTAGAAATTGAATCAATAAAATTTTTAATTTCTCTGCAATGCATATCAGAACATCCGATAAATCGAGTAGGTGAAGTTGTTGCTTTATATTTTTGTGATATGCACTTTTGTTCTGATAAGCTGATGTTGTTGCTTTATATTTTTTGTGATATGCATTCTGACAAAAGTGGGATTCCATTAGATGAATCTTTAAAATGACAAAAGTATAATTTGCACGTGCTGTTTCTCTGCTTTAAATGATCTAAATTTTGTTTTCAGTTGAATGCCAGTTGGAAAAGAAAATCCTTAGGATCCCATAATTCGGATCATAAAAAAGCATAATGGTATGTTCTTTATCATTATCGTCTGTTGCATTTGAATAATATTTTGATCGGATCTCATGGCAGGCTCACTTTTTTAACCCCGTCTTTTAACGCAGATATCTGCTGGAAGTGCTATTCTGTATCACTTGAACATGCTGAACAGTTTGGTTTTAAGACAGATTTTATGGTCTTGCATTTGTTTAAGTTTGTGTTAGGGATGGATTACTTTCAATTCATGAAAGTAAACGGAATAGAAAACAATTAACGAAAAACCTGTTTATCTTTATTTTTTCTGGATGACATTCAAATTATAAAGAATTTTTATATTTTAGTATTTCAGATCATTACTGAAATGTAAACGGAAAATCTAAGTTGAAATCGAGTTGAATGACGCTTCACGCGGCTATCCGGCAATATATCCCAACATATTGCCTTGCTGCGCCCCTTTGACCCGATCTGCACTTACGGAGGAGAAAGCCCAACATAAGAAACCCAAACATATGATCTGAAATGGTGTCATTTACTGATATCACAAACTAAAGAGAAAAAAGAAAGTTATCTCGTTTGTCTTAAATTCTCGTTCAGCAAGAAATGGAGAATGTGCCAAGTGGCACCCCAAAATATCCTAAGACAAGAAAAAAAGATACATGATAAGAAATTGTAATCCTTACGTTTGAATCAAAAGTATGCAACTGACCTTTAAATCGAATAAATGAATACAATTTTTAAGGAATAGTAGTTATTCTAAATCATGCTTTGACTTCAACGTAAAAGAGATCCATTACACGGTTCAATTGAAGATATATTATGAAAATTCTATATGCTATTTGTGCAGTTCTAAATTTTTAACTTGGCTATATTGTTGAACTTGTTATTTTGACTGACATATTGGTTTCATAATAGCATCATCAGCGACTTTAGGAAAACCCTGCTATATATCTATCGGAGGAACTACGTATTCACCAAAAAAATCGTAAATGTAAGAACCTTACATAAAAAACATTCTAAAATCAAAGGTATATCTTTAACTGCATTCCGGAACAATCACAAAATTATAAAAGATATAAAGACAGTTTTTGGGTTAACCTTGTTTCCTGTGTGAAAGTAATCATCCAGAAATTGGTATTAGTTTCATCAAAAGATAAATAAAAGAGCCTTTAAAGCTCAAGCATTCTTCGGTAATCTCCGAAACAAAACAAAATAAACCCGGATCCTTAAAAGTTGTGTCCATTTCCGTAAAAATAAGCTTTAGAATCATAATAACACAGTCATGTTATTAAAACAGTGTTTGGCAAGACCCTCCAATGCAGCAACTCACTCTGAACAATAGAAGATCCAACTCCAGATAAAAAGGTCACACTATGACATGTGAATTACAGAGCCATCAAATGCTTTGTATATTTTCCTTCATAAAGAAGAAAGAAGATGTTTTGAACATCAAATCCTCTGCGTATGGAATAATGAAAGCATGTATTTGATTTAATAGTAGGAGTGGAGGAATAAAAGGATGAAGTTCCATTCAGATATAATAATAGTATATGATCCAAGGGATATATACCATCAAGGAACAAATGAATCTTTTCATAGAACAACATGACTGAAGAAAGAAAGGAAGAGCATGATTCATTCAACAGATATACACAGAGTAGATAAGAGAAAGATCATCAATATTGTTGATAATATGATAGCATAACAGACTACAATATTACACTAGACCAAGTCAGACCATCTAGAATGAGATGTAGCACTAGCAACAAGACTACCTAGTGCTGGCATGATCAACGACAATACAAGATCACTAGAAGATCAAGATTTTTCAGTATGCTTCTCTACTGCATCTTTCTTGAAATTTTGAATAACCTATTGTTGATTCACACGACAAGCAGCTACAAAAGAGATGAAGACAAAGAATTCCATGGGTGTCCTTCCATCATTGAGGTGGATGAGCCAGAGTTCAAAGAGGAAGTATGGAGGCCCTTATATTAAGTTGCCAGAGAGGGTTCTTTATTTAAGCAATGACAGAAAGGGAAGCTGTTCAGTAAGAAGTAGAGGCCAGGCCGGGGAAGAGTAAAGTACTGGCTTTGAGGGAATCTACCTACCATAGAGAAGAATTAGCCAGCTTTGATGAAACAAGGGGTGTGCTCTCCTCTGGCTCTCCCGCTTCTGGTTGAACTCTAACTCCCAATACAGAGACCCTAGTACCCAAAAGAGAGATCATAAGAATGTCTTTAGGATACAAGATGATAACTAGATAGAATAGCATCAGAGAGGTAGTCCACAATAGGATCATCCAAAGAAAGGCTTTAAAATAAGTTAGTATGCCGCGTAGATTGCTGACCCTAACAACAGTCCCTGATCCATATTATGGCTATTTATAACCAAAATCGCAGAAAGACTACCTTTAAGGTACATAAGAACTAGATACAATAATATGTGATCCAAAGGGACTAGACAACATTACAGAACGTATGAATCTTCTCAACACATGCAGAGTAGATACTGAGAAAGATCAACAATAGTGTTGATACTACCACGGCATGACAGACTGCAATAGCACACTAGACCAAGTCAGACCACCAAAAATGAAAAGCAAAACCAGTAATAACCTAGCGCTGAAATGAAAAGCAATGACATAAGATCACTAGAAGATCGAGATTTCTCGGTAGGTTTCTCTGCTGCATCTTTCTTGAATTTCCAAATAACCTATTGCTTATAGGCACAGATGGAGACAAGACAAAAGATGAATGCCTCCATGGCCAAATAACCTACGTTTTTGCTCAAAAGTGAAATCACAAGAATCATCGTTAGTATTACATGATAACTAGATAGAATAGCATGAATATCAATAGTCCATAATAGGATCATTGAAAGCAAATCTTGAGTATCCAGATAACCTAATCCACATAATCCAAAGATATTAGACAACACCAAAGAACGTATGGATCCTCTCATAAGACACATCGTGATTCAAGAAGTCAATAAGAGCATCTGGTGTATTTAACACTAAAGTATTAAGATCATGCAAATTTTAATCGATAAAAGAAGGAAGAGATATTGCAGATAACCCAGTGCCGGCATGAAACACAGCCTAGACGAGATCACTAGAAGAACACTTTCTCATTAAGTTTCTCTGCTGCATCATTCTTTGAAATTTCAAATAACATTTATTGCCGATCCACAACACGGCCAGCCAGAACAGAGAAGTACAAAGATCAAAGAAGATCACTGCCTCGGTCGGTACCCCTCCATCTTCTCCCAAAATGGAGATCACAGAAGGATCATACTTAGGATATAAATGAATAGATCGATCTAGGAAAAATAGAAAGATCAAGAGACACACGGTCCCCAACGGCACATCTCCTCCAAGAACAACAAGAATGACAGGAACAAGCATCTAATTCATTCTACACGAAAATAGCAGAAAGATCGTCAAGAACGTCGAGTGGAAAAGGGAGAAAAGGAGTAATACCACCTTGATGCGTTGCAGCTCCGTGCCTCGGAAGCGAAGCGCCCGACTGCAGAGGTCGATGCGCGGGAGGATGCCACAGCAATGGAGATCGGAGATGGTTGGCTAGGGCACGGCGGTGGTATGGGTTTTGGAGGACAGCGCAGAAAGAGAAAGGGGGCCAGTGGCCAAGGATCTCGTGGAGGCGGTGCTGAAGAGGGGAGATCGAAGTCGGAGAGACAAGAAAGAGATCGGAGGAGGAGGCGAACCTAGTCCTTGATCACGGCTCTCTACACGATCCATGTCCTAAGTCTCTCCCCGTCCTTCTCTCTTCGTTCGCCTTCTCCTCTTTGGGTAGTCACCGAGGGAATGGAAGGTCTCATCTCCCAAGCAGCCACTGCTATTTATAGAGGGCGAGGCGGGAAGGACTCTAACAGAAAAGAAGACTGGGCTGCGGCCCAAGGATGCTGTTTCGGGTGACGTCACGCATTTCCTTACTGGCATGGTTGTTATGGAATTAATGATGTATATATATATATATATATATATATATATATATATATATATATATAGGATATTCAAGTTAATCCACCTTTAGTTGTGGTCATTATTAATTTATTTTAATTATTAAAATATATGTATATAATGTACTTGTATTCCTTTCATCATGACAAGTTTCTATAGAGTAGTAATATAAATTTCAACTGATGGTTAGCTATTTTGATATTAAATATAAAATAATTAATGGTGAATTTTCGATTTTTTATTTTTTGTTTCGAGAAGTGTCTCATTTTTTATCTAATTACTTGAAATATATTTTGTATTGTGTTGTAGTGTTTTCAAAAATATCAAAAGAATATTATAACATGATGTTTTTATACAAATTTTAT